TACAAACTTCTGCTTTTTGTGAACTGGCCAGGTGTGTTTAATAACATGTCTAAATGTGGTGCATTGACTTTAAAAGAACACAGCTTATGTATGTAGAATCAAAGCCCTTCCAGTACGCGTTCAGAGCTTCAGAAAGTTGTCACCACATGAAGCATAGGAGATGAAAATTTGTTTAAAAACTGGGTTGTGTTCTATAAGGTAGTGATGAAAGATCAGAAATCTAAGGCCCTTGTTTGTAATTGGGTTAGATCTTACCAGGAGAAAACTTTGATGCCATTCCACATCAGCTGCTGAGGAAGTACGTGGGTTATGCTCGCCAGTACGTTCACCCCCATTTATCTCCAGAAGCTGCTCAGGTCCTTCAGGAGTTCTACCTGGAGCTTCGGAAGCAGAACCAGGCAGCAAGCAGCACGCCGATCACCACGAGGCAGCTGGAGTCGCTGATTCGACTCACGGAGGTAAATTCAAGCTTTCATACTTGAAGGATTGAAGACAAAGACATTGTTCCTGTGTGATACCTATAGTGCTGAGTTATCCTTTGTGTGGGGGGGTTTCGTGTTGTTTTTTTTTTTAAGATGGTGAGAGTCTTAGAAATGCTTTAAGAGCTACTGTTGCTAAAAGCCTCTTATGAAATAAAACATCCTTAAGGAGCTAGAAGTAAAACCTATCTAGCTCCTAAAAGGCAAGAAAGGTGCTGGCAAGGACAAACTGCTGCTGCCCATCTTGAATTGTTACTGTCTTACCTAACACTGTATCTTAATAACATTATTTGTGATGTATTATTTCCTGAGAATAAGCTGTTAAAAACTGCAACCTGCATCTTGATATCGTGCGTATGAAAGGGATGATGTTGAAATGCTATCAAAATAGAGGACTTGTCATCTATATTCTCTAGGCTCAGATTCCGTCTTCATGCTCATAAAAATTGTGCTTATTGTAGCATCATGTGGGGCAGGTCTGTAGCTTTTTCCCTCATCAGGTGTGATATCTTAAACATACCTTTCTGATATACTTTGTTTTAAGGCACGATCAAGGCTGGAATTGAGGGAGAAGTGTACCAAGGAAGATGCTGAGGATGTAATAGAAATAATGAAATACAGGTAATATACAGTGCTTTTAAACTAAAACACTGTGTTGCTACTCATTCACTTTCTAAAATAGACATGCAAACACAGTGAAGAAATGACTTTAGCAAACTTAGGCCCCCAGAACCAGCACTGAGAGTTTTTAATTCCTGTTTAAAAACTGACGGCAGCCCTCAGTTGAATACTGCCACTTAGACCTTTGAGTTGTATCACTGCAGCAGTTATTAATATCAGTCCACAGTAATTGAAATGCTGCCAAAGATTTTCCTCTGGTGTGACCACTCTCTGTTGTTGCTGTTGAACAAATTAAGTTCAAAAGTGACTTGGACAGATGCTTTTTCTATGTTCCCTTGGTAGGAAACCATCCCCTAGGAAAAAGTCACTATCTGTCTTCTGAAAACTTAAGTGGTGATGTTTCAGGAAGGAAGTTCATGCATTTTTCCTTTTACATCCCATTTCTTTTGATGTGTTTATCTTAGCATGCTGGGAACATACTCGGATGAGTTTGGAAAACTGGACTTTGAACGTTCACAGCATGGATCTGGGATGAGCAATCGGTCACAAGCAAAAAGATTTGTTTCTGCCCTTAACAATGTTGCAGAAAGAACTTACAACAATCTCTTTGATTTGCAACAACTTCGACAGGTTGCAAAGGAGCTACAAATACGAGTAAGTTTGGAAATCAAACATTTTTTTAGTAAGTATAAAAGCAGTCAGAATTACTTAATGTATTTATTTAGACTGTTGTGGTGTCTGCTCTGTCTGTGCAGTGAGCTTTCTGCTTGGCCTTCAGTGGCCGGCACATGACTTTTGGGTTTTCATTCCTGCTTTGAGCATCTTCATGCTATACCATAGTGGGAACATCATATGGCCACAAGTGTGTTTTATCCTGTAACAGTTTACATTCTGTACTTGAGAGGTGAGCAGGGTTGCCAAACAAAAATGTTAACAGTTAATTTACCTTTTTGCTTAATAGTGAAAAGCTTTAAATTCCAATGTAAAACTTGAAACTGGATTTCAGGCATAATAAGAGAGAAAGTGGAGACAGCTAGTTTCTTTGTATGGAACTTAATGTGGGCAGTATTGCTGTTCTTCTTGCTACCTGGTTAACACACCCTGTCCTGCTGGGACAGGATGACTTCTGTCTCCAAACTTGTCCAAATGCTGACTATAAGCAAGACTAGATTTAATGTGAATCCCATCTGGCAGAGTATGTTGTTGCCCTTTCCCTTCTCACAAGGCCATTCATTTATTCAGCAACTAGTTACTTGTAGCTAAGTGAATTCTAATTTTGCCTTCATGTATTTCATACAGAATATTGAATGGGCAAATGATACATTATAAATACTTGGAAATCAGTGAGAGCTGTAGAAAATAAACCTTTCTTCAGTATTTGTGTTCAGAACATGGTTTTATACGTATGCTACTCTGCACACTTTGTGTGCGTTTGTGAATGGTGTACAAGCAAAGCACCAAAGGGTGTAACTGATGCTGTATTACCTGCTTGTAGGTCATTGCTTTGTGAAGGAAACTAACTCTGTTCTAGCTCAATTCAATTCACTAAGTAATGCACGAATACTACAATTCTTTTAAATCATTTGTGTTGCTTTTTATCAGATGGGATTTATTTTTTCCAGTTTGGCATTTACCTTTTTTCTCTCCCCTTTCCCTCTCCCCCCCCCTCTTTTTCCAACTGCAGGTATTTGATTTTGAGAGCTTTATTGAATCCCTGAACGATCAGGGTTATCTCTTGAAAAAAGGCTCGAGACTTTATCAGCTTCAGACTATGTGAGAAGAGCTGCTGCAATAAACTTGGAGACATAATTACTGTATCTGAAATGGACTGATGAACATGCAGCAATAAAGTGACCTGACTTGCAGCCTGCTCCAGGAGCACCTCTTGCCCCTGTTGTTTACTGGAAGTTCGTGCTCAAACATTGGTAATGCCAGCAGGCTTGCTAGAAGCTAATGTAAGTCACACTGCTCTGTGGTACTGCTGCTTGACTCATCCTGTAAGGCTGCTCGCCCAAATGATCGTAACAACAAATTTCAGTTCTAAATTTAAAATGATTGTTGGACTCACAAATTTTAAAACCAAAATCTTCTGTGAGAAGGCAGTGTGAGTTGTGTTTTTAGCACTGCAGTTCATTTGAGGTGTTTAATGTATAGAAATGTTTCTAAAAATTTGGGAACGTTCATGTTGAGAAAGTCACCTCTGCAGTTGTGTAGCTGGAAGGATTTAGATTTTTGATTTGCAACTATTTATTGGTCTTCCTAATAGGTTTTATTTGAAATGCAAGTCTAATTTATGAAAGTCTCCTCATTACAGTGCTTAATGTGTAAAATGGAAATTGTCTTTTTATTTCTCATTAACCATGATATATGGGAGTAATATTAATAGTGAACACTTGTGTGGGTGTTAACAGCTGTTACAGAACACATGTTACATACGATGTATGTATTCTTTTTACTGTTCTGCCACAGAAGGCTGTCTGATTTTGTGAAATGGAGCATGCCCTAATACAGTAACAGCAGATGAGAAGCTTTGCGTAAGGATTTTAAAAACAATAGAATTGTTTTTCTCCCTTTCTATTCTAAATGGTAAGCTGTATAAACTATAAGAATATTAGCTTTAGTCTTTCACCTTTTCCATTAAGTGACTTATTTTTATCTTCCTTCCCCTCAGTCCATCCCACCCTTGCACAATCTAACTGAGGGCAGTGTTGTGTAAGAGATAAATAAAACGCAGCACTGGAAATTCACAAGTGGGGTTCTGCCTCACCTCCCCCTGCTTTGTGGAGTTCCTTCACTGCAGAGGTACTTCCTGTTGGGTGCCCCCCTGTGCTCGTACCTGGGGCCGTTCCTCCCCAGTTGCAGGACTTTACCCTTTCCCTCTTTGCGATGAGGTTTCTGGCAGCTCCTGGCCCCAATCTGCTGGATTCCCTCAGTGTGTCTCCACCGCTCCCCATTTTGTGTTCTCTGCACACTTCAGAACGTGCTCTTTACCTGGAGGTGGTAATGTCCTTTCACTCCCATCTTTGTGCAAACGATTAGAAGCTACCACGTCTACTTGGTGCGCCAAGAGAAGTAGTAAATTCTTAAGGTCACACAGAATTCCCCTATTCCTTTTTAACTGCCTTTCACGGGGGGGGGGGGGGCTAGCGAGGGAGAGTAACCAAACACACACGTGAATGGTGTTTTTTGTTGGTTTGGTTTCTTTCTCTCATTTCTCTTGCCAGTTACAGACTACTGTCTGTAGTCAGTGCATGGAACAGAGGGGTCACACCTTGACCGGAGCCTGCAGCACTGCCGGGAACTGGAGTGCAAACTTGTAGCTACTTAATAGCACTGAATGGCAGGGGCAGGGGCTAAGAACGAGTCAGTTCTGCAGCTGGAGAGGCCAACTCTTACCCTTCCTAGAGCCAAAGCAAACACAACTGAGAGGAGCGAGAGGCCAAGTACTGAGCACGAGAGTCTCTTTGCTCTCTGAGAAGCCTTACGGCAAAGCAAACCATCCACTTCTTCCTTCAAGGACTCGTGAAGGAAGACAAGAGGTAGGGTGCCCGAAGTGGCCGTTTCCCCCTCCTCAAGTCGCACAGCTCCCGTTCTGCGGGGAGGAGCGCCACGCGGCACGGCTACACGTAGCGGCTGCCCGGGGCGGGCCGCTCTGCGCCCGGGGGGGAGCGCTAAGCCCGCCGTAAAGCGCGCGGCCCGCCGTCGAGGGCGCTGTCGTAAAGCGTCGCAAAACGTCACCCCGCCCCCTCTTTCGCTGCACGGGCGCAGCCCGCGGCTCGTCCACTGTCCCCGAGTCCCCGTCGCTCTGTCGGGGAGGCGGATGGCGGCGGCGGACGGCCGCTCGCTCCGGCGGGCGGGGCCGCAAAGCGCGTAGGGGGCGGCGGGCGGGCGCCTCGCAGCATGCTGGCCGCCGCTTGGCTGGGCAGGGGGTTCTGGGGGTCGCTCCGCGGCGCGGGGCGGAGGCGGCCGTGCGGTGGGGCCGGGCCTCCATCCGGCCGGGCCGAGGCGGGGGACCGTCGCCACGGCAACGGCGGCGCGTTCTGCCTGGCCGGGGGGGCGCGCGCCGCCCTCGCCCTGCGCGCGCCCCGGCGGCCGCTGCGCGCACCCCTCTGGAGCCCCCTCGGCGGCGGGACCGGGCCGCGGCGGGCGGGGAGCGGTGGGGCCGCGCCTCCGGAGCCACCCCGGGAACGGAGCGTGGCCGGGCGCTACGCCGAGCCGGTACGCGAGCCGCGGGAGCGGGGCCGGGGGAGGGAGGGCCGCGCGAGGTCGGGGCCGCTTTCGGTGCACCGAGCCGCCCGGGCCGTCCCGCCGACCGGCCGCCGGAGCGCCTGCATTGTAGCGCGGAGCCGCGGCCTGCCGCAACAGGTGTGCCGCACACCTTAGAGCCGGCGGCGCGCGGCGTGCTCCCCTGGGGGCGAAGTGCGGGCCGAGGCGGGCACCTGAGCGCCAAGTTGTGCCGCCCTGCTCCGACGGCGGGGCGCTTCCCAGGCGGGCGCGGCTTCTGCCTGCCACGGCTGTGCGCCCATTGACGCCGAGGTCCGCCTTTCCGGCCTGAAGTGTTTGCTTTCTTACTTTGCAGTATGAAAACCCGTGGACGATCCCAAACATACTGTCAATGGCAAGGATGGGATTGGCGCCAGTTCTAGGCTATTTGATTGTTGAAGAAAATTTCAATGTTGCACTAGGTGTCTTTGTTTTGGCTGGCGTAACAGATTTGGTATGTTGACATGAGTTTGGAAATACTTTGGGGGTGTACAGTGTGGGTTGCTATGATCCCATCGATGTGTGTTGGAGTTTAGAATCTGTCTCGTGTGGAAATTATACTCTGTAGGAGGAGATGAAGTTTATTGTATTACATTTGTTGCTTTGTAGCATCCTACATCCCTTGTGGGGATGTGGTGCTGACCATCCCCAAATGGGCATTGCTGCTATGCTTGTGTATTGGAGGTGTGCTGGTGTTGGCAGGTGTGCACAGTGCACCCACCAGAGCAATGCTTGGTGAATTTCAGATGTGCCTTTTCAAACGTTAGTTGTAGCAATTGTTTGTTTGCTTGTGGGTTTTTTGTTTGTTTGTTTTAAATAATCAGAACTGAAAGTGTTTAAAGACTTCCAGAATCTAGAGTGCAATGCGGGTGGGGGTGGGAAGGGTGCAAGGACGTGCTGACAGGCTTCCTCATACATACACAGCTGGGTTGCGTGGATGTTCATGAAACCTCGCTGTAACAGCAGCATATGACACCTGTTTTTATTCTTTGCTTTTTAACACAATATTCCTGAATGTTGTTCTTTCTAGTTGGATGGGTTTATTGCACGCAATTGGGCTAATCAGAAATCAGCATTGGGAAGTGCTCTTGATCCACTGGCTGATAAAATTCTCATCAGTGTGCTCTATGTGAGCCTAACTTGTACAAACCTTATCCCAGGTGAGAAAATGTCATTGCTTGCATGCGCTGTACTAAAAGTTAATATTTCTTCTGTAAGTTAATATTTCTTCTGTTTCTGGAAGGAAAACCATGTTTAGCTCTTAGCAGTTTGCCAGTTGTGCTTTGCAATCTGTTGCTTTTGAATACTCAAACAAAACCCAGCTCCCTCCAGCCCAGATAGAACACACTGCTGCTACTTTCTTCAAAGCCAGCTGTTACATCCAAACATGTAAGATTTCCTAGACAGGTTAAAGCCATCAGACGAAACCTTTTCAGAAGTCATGTTAAACATCTTTGGTTGTGCCTAAAACTGTTTCAGAAGTTGGCAGTGCTTATTTCTTGCTTCATGTTTTGTGTTCTTTTTTATCATGCTTTCTTCTTAATCTTGGACGTGGTTTTTCACTAGATCCTGTTGGCTTGGTTTTTCAGTTTCACTTACTTCCATGATCATTCTGAGAGATGTAGCGCTCATTGCTGCTGTTTTTTATGTGCGATACAAAACTCTTTCTCCCCCGGTGAGTGTGTAAGATCAAACAAAATGTTGTGAACGTGTCATCGTTTTTTAGTATGACTGAATCTTTTTATATGCTATTATGTGTATATATAAAGATAAGCATGTAACAAGTTGTAACCAAGAGATTTTCCTCTAATCCTGATGGTTGCCCTAAACTTGGGTGGATAGTCCAGTGCTTATTGTGCTGGGTTTGTGAACAGAACAGTGTTTTGTGGAATAAGTTTGAGTAAGATGAGCCAGAGCTACTGGTAACTTTTTCTCCTGTACGATGGCTAATAGTTCATCTCAGGGCAGTAGTAGTGTAATTCTCTCATACTGTAATTGCTTTTTTGTTGTGTATCATGTGAAGATGTATATCAAACTGAATGTGTTAGAACTGCATTTATTTTTCCCTTTCCTCTCCCAACAGAGAACACTCAGTAGGTATTTTAATCCCTGTTACGCTACAGCCCAACTAAAACCAACGTTCATTAGCAAGGTAAGAGTAGTAACATATTATAAAATTTCTCCTTAGTTGGGGCAGTGTGTAGTTTGGGGGGACGAGGCTGGGTACAGTGTTGAGATAGTGCCAGCTGACTTGGAGGCAGCTGAAATCCTGAAAGGTTTTCACCATGAAAACCAATCAGGACATTGGCTGGTTTTAAGCGTAGGAGATGTTTTGTTGAAAGAAGTTTTAAAATATTTTTTCTAATTTTTTTTTTTTTTTTAGTAGTACACAGACTAATATTCAAACAAGTAACAAAACTGTATATTGGCATTCCTTGTGCAGTACACTTCATTTTGGCCACGCTTCTTGTTTTGCTTTTACCAGATGAACACAGCGGTTCAGCTGATTTTGGTGGCAGCTTCTTTAGCAGCTCCTGTTTTCAATTATGTGGACAGCGTGTATCTACAGACATTATGGTAACCTATCTCTTCATCTTTAGTGTGGTTATTTAAGATAATTTAACGTGCTTCTTAAGAAATGAGTAATTGAAATAAATAGTTGAGTAAATTGAAATTAAATAGTTGTGGGAGACAAAAAGGCGATGCTCAAATGATCTCAGACCCCAGTGGCTGAATTTTTACATGTTTATTCTTAGCTGATGTAACAACTGTATATTTATTATTACTGAATTTGTGTGAGACTCATTAAGATCCAGGAAATGCAGTGAAGAAGGAAGACTTTAGAAAAGCCACGATGTACACAAGTGCAAAGTGTGTCTTCAGATTGGTATCAGAGGAGGGGGAGTGGGAAGTGAGGCTGTACAGGTTTCTTATATTCATGCCAAAAGTGCCCCTCAAAGAAAACTTGGTATCAGTAAATACAGACAGGAACTATTTTCTTACTTTGCTTTAGACTATACCTACTGTCCTGAAATTTAGATTTCTGAAGCATTTTTAAATATCAGCAATTCCTCCTAGACTATGGGAAGGAAGGAGAAACATCAAATGAAAACAGGCCTACTGCAGTGCACTTGAAATGCCCACCTTGGGTGTCACTGCCATCACTGGAGACCTGAACAGCTAATTGTAGCTGACAGCAGGTGTTACAAGTGGCAATATTTCTCCTAAGGTGTTAGGTAAGAGTTCACAACCAAGAGACTGAACTGCAGTAGCAGAATTACGTAGTAACTGAGTTTAAGGTAGTAGAAGATCCAGTATTGCGTGCCTTAAAAAAAAAAAAAGTCACTAAAGCTTTTTAAGGAATAAGGAACCTGTATCTTAACAGCCAAATGTGTTTTTCACCCTGTTGGAAAGCTAAACCTGGAACTGCATGTGTGAAAGACACACCTTGCTATTCTCTGGGACTCAATGAGAGTTAGCGTGTTGTTAGTAGTGAAGGAGTGCTGGGTGTGACTTAGCTGGGTGCTGTGCAAGCATACCTAAAAATACCTAAAAATAAACCTAAAAATAGGTAAAAATAGGCTCATCTATGAGCCTGGCAGCGTGTTGACAGAGGGCTGTTACTGACTCCCACCTGAATGGTGTCAGCCTTTGACACAGAGCAGCGCTGCTAATTTGGAAATAAATGATGGTTATTACATAATGTCTGAGAAAAGACCAAAAGAGGCTGAAGCCAACACTTGTGCTTTAGCTGTGGAGCTTCTTAAAATAAGGTCAAGTCTTCTGTATTTTTTTTTTAACAATCCCTTCATGCTGCAAAGGGATAGTTTCTCACATCAGTCAGTTTTATGCCAGTAACAATTATGGAGGCTACAGATATGGAAGCAGATTTGTTGTCTTCTCTCAAACAAGTGTTAATGTTTACTGTTGTGCTTGAACTCAGATGGCTTACAGGAGCTGTTTTCTTCAAAGGTGCATCACAGCTTTCACAACGGTAACATCTGCGTATAGCTATTACCACTATGGCCGAAAAACAGTTCAGGTGATAAATAACAAATGAAGTATTCTTGGAAGGACCTGGCAGCATGGTTTGCTGTACTGAAGAAGATGGTTGTAATGCAACTGGGTTTGTGAAAAAGAGCTTTGTTTTTCTGCTTGAACCATGGCATCGCAGTGAAATGAAGTTTGAACGTGTATTGTGTGTATATATAGAGACTTTTCAATGTATTTTTAATTTGTTTAAAGATAAGGTTCTTTATAAAAACAAATAAATAATGTTCTTAAACACACGGGTTACTAATTGCTGCCATACACATCTTTAATAATTTTATATTGTTTTTGAAGTCAGAAATATGCACTTCTCACCAGCGTTTTTGGCATCTTCGTATAATACACTGACTAGATCTGAGAAGAAAAAGCAATTGTAAGAATGTGTCTTTGTACCTCAACCTAAGTCAATAAAGTAGCTTTCCTTATTAGGATTTATGACATATTTCAGCCTGCAGCAGAACAAACAATGTGATCAAACAGAATCTTCAAAAGTCTAAATAGGAGTGATAGCAAACACGGTTTCATTTTCTGGGGTAATATGGCAGGCGCTGAAGAGTTACTTCTCTCCCCTGTCCCTTTTATTTTTTTTTCCTGTTTGTTTTTGTATGCAAGCAAATGTTAACTGTACTCAGCAGAGAAGAGTTTTGAGTCTCAGAATGGCCAGCTGTGCACTGAACAGTCTATCCAAACAAAGTGGGCATGGAGTTGTGTTTCTCATTACAAATGATATCTACTGATTGAAACAAGGTGCATCTCCCATGTCTGCAGTTGCTTGAGCTGGGACCTTTTGATGTTTGGCATTGACCCCCGTGATCATTCTTCCCTGCTATGGAGGCAGCACAAGCCAGTTAAAATGGAAAGCCACTAGAGAGTTTGTATTTTGCTTCTGATTAATATTCGCTGCATTTCTGGTTACACATCCACTTCCATTATTTCTTCTGTTTCCATTCGAACTTTCAGTTACAGTTTCCCTTTAACTGCTGGTCACATTTCATTTTTTTCTGCTTCTGCTTATGTAGCAGCCCCCTTCTTTCCACTTTTAGTGACTTTCTGCCTGCATTGAAGTCTTATGCTTCAGGAGCAGCTGTCTTTGAAAGTTCCTACTTCTTATCACACTTTTGTTCAATTTCTGGCTACGCTTTTATTTTGACTTCCAGATATGGTACCACCCCCACCTCCCCCATTGCATTTCTACTTCCAGTTACAATTTTACTTCTAGTTACAATTACACTTCTGATTTGACTTCTGGTTCACCTTCCTTTTCCACTTCTGGTCACGTTTTTCCTTAGCAGTTCTCTTTTGCCTCAGAGGCAACCCTCTTCTTTGATTTTCTCTATTTAACTTCTTCTGATCTCATTTTGTTCAACTTCTGGTTCCGCGTGTGGATACGGTTTTGCTTCCAATTCCAGTTTCTTCCCTTTTCCACTTTTACTTTTGGTTCCATTTTTACTTAGCCTTGGTATAAGTTCTCTTCTTTGAAGTAAAAGCATGACTGAAACCAGAAGTGGAACTAGGAGTATATGTGAAACTGGCAATGGAAGTAGACCCAGAAGTGAATGCTAAAGTGGGATCAAAAGTAGAAGTGAAAGCAGAAGAGGATTTGGAACTGGAAGCGGGGGTATAACCAAGAGTATAACCAGAAGTGGAAGTGGATGGAGAATCAGAAGTGAAACAGAATTTCGATCAGGAGTGAAATAGGAACTTTCAAAGAAGATAGCTGCTGCAGAGGCAGAATAATGATAGGAGGGTGGAAGGCAGCTGGTAGGATCCACCTCACTGTGCCAGCGTGTCCTACCCTGGTATGGCTTTGGCTGGAAATGGTTGGCCTGGGATGGGTTGGCTCAGATCAGGGCAGCTTGACACAGCACGGGGCATGTTGGGTTGGGTCAGCCTGGCACGATTAGAATAGCACAGTTGGCACAGATTGGCTTGATACTGTAAGCTGGTTGATCATGAAACGCTCTTAAGTCTCAAATTGGACTGTTTGGAAGCAGGCATTCTTTATTCTTGGCACCAGATGCACAGGGGGATCCTTCCACCTAATTGCACATCCCTGATACAAAAGATCTTTCTTACGCAAAGGTTTTCCTGAGCAGTATGTGCATGTTCAATACCTCCCCCTGGATCATTAACATGGGCTTCTGCCTCCTTGTATGTGTTCAGTCTTTTTGTGGTGGTGGTTCTGGGACCTTACTGTGTTTGCTCATTGAACTCTGTATGGGAACTGTTAGGTCATGGCAGTGATTGAACATCTGTTGTAGAGGTGTGGCTAGGCCTGGGAGCACAGGTGCAAGCAATTAATCCACCTGTGAGACTGGATCCATCCCTCCCTAACCTCACTTAAGTGCTAGCAGCTGAGAAAGAAACACCTCTATTTGGAGATTGCTCCCTTCTGGAAGGTTCCGGTGAGCCCTTGCCTTTGAGATGGGATAATTCCTTATCACAAATAGGCTATTCTGAGGAAAAATCAGCCCCTGTTCCTCAGGAGTAAAGCTCAGGGAAACCCAGACGTACCCAGTGCCTGTCTGCAGCCTTCCTGCGGCAAGTGGAGCTTACTCCCAGCCCAGGTTTTCCTTCCCTTGCTTTCTTTCCGAGAACGCAGCTAGGTGGTGCTGCTGCAGCACAGTATCTGGGCTGGCATGTATTCATTCTCCGGAGACATCTAATGCTCACCAGCTAAGTTTTCTGCAAATGCTTGCACAAGACAGTATCTCCCCAGGGAATCCTATGCAAGGTAGGGAAGCTCTCCCTCACACTGTGAAAGGTATAATTCCAATCCTTTTTCCTACCTCAGTCCTTTTTTGCTACAGCCTGGCATGTGCTGTTTGACATTTGACCTTTTGTCCTTGACTCTGACATTAGATCTCTGACCTTGATCCGCCATCTTTTGATCTTAGACCTTTGCCTGATTTACTTTTTAAGCTTCTGACACTGACTCAGGTTTTTTGACCTTGGCACCATGACCTTTTTGCATTTTGGCTTTTGACCTTTGACGTGGTGACCTTTGAATTCCATCCCATTACTTTTAAGTCAGTGACCTTATGTTATTTTACTGTGATCCTGGGACCTTTTGACCTTTGGCCTTGACTCCATGAGCTTCCTCCCCTGCTGTGGAAGCAGTATAAGCCAATGAAAATGGAAAGTCAGTAGAGAGTGTGTGGATGAAAGGAAAAGTGATGCAATATGCTGCTTTCCTCTCAGCACAGAATCACAGAATGGTTTGTGTTGGAAGGGACCTTTAAGACCACCTCATTCCAACCCTGCTAAAGGCAGAGACACCTCTAGACCAGGCTGCTCACAGCCCCATCCAGACTGGCCTTTGAACGCTTGCAGGGAGGAGCATCCACAGCCTCTGGGCAGCCTGTGCCAGCATCTCACCACCCTCACAATAAAAAATGTCCTCCTAATATCTAGTCTAAATCCACCCTCTTCCAGTTTATAGCCATTTCCCCTCACCCCGTAGCTATGTGACCTTAGGAAAGTCCCTCCCCACTTTCCTGTAGGCCCTTTCAGGCACTGAAAGGCTGCTCTCAGGTCCCCCCAGAGCCTTCTCTTCTCCAGGCTGAAGAGCCTCAACTCTGTCAACCTGTCCCAGTAGGGGAGGTGCTCCAGCTCTCATGTCTCAGAACAGATGTTAAGCAGGAGCTTCCTGGCTCATTTTCCCCAGAACCTCTTCACTAGTTTCATTTTTTTAAGTCGTATTTATTTTAGATGGTCTGGAAAATGCATGTACACGTGAGGGTCAGCGTGTGAAGGACTTCAGTGGGAGACCAATGGGAGACCTGTGTGACGCAGGCTGTAGGGCAGCAGATGGGGTCACCCGGGCTTCACATCCTGCGGCTTTGCATACTATCAAGGCTGCTGTATCTCCAGGACACACGGCACAGCTCTCCTCTTCCCGCCGTGGTTGCGGGGCGCGCGGCGCTGCACGGCTGCAGCCCGCGAGGTGGCGCCGCAGCACCGCCGCTGCTCCCGCGGCGTCACGCGAAGCTCCCGCTGGGCTGGCAGCCTCCGTCCTCCTCCACAGGGCTCTGATTCTCCCTCGCAAACTCTCTCCAAAGCGTACTGTGACTGCAATATCATTTCTGGGATAGTTTTTTTTCTCCTCTCATGGCTTTATTAGGGTTCATGTGTATGTTTGAACAGCTTGACTGTAAGGTTTATGAGATTAGCACATACACAACCTGTGCTAATCCTATTTTGCCCCCAGGTGAGCTCCAGCTGTGGAGATCAATTCCAGGTGATGACTGTCACCGTGAGCATGTCTGGATTGGTGCTGGTGGGGTCCAGCAGCCCGAGAAGGTTCCTGTGTTTGGGAGGGGGCTGGTTTCCATGTCCTGACTGGTGTATGCAATGTGCCTGGTGTGGAGCAGCTGTGGAGTAAAGGGAAGGGTCACTGCTGCTCTTGGATAGTGGCATCCAGAAAGGGACTGCTCAGTCAAAATACTCAGTTGCATTTTGGTGGGCTGTCAGCCCTGTGGGACCTCGTCCAAGCAGAACTCCCCAGCTGAGCCTGCAGGTAGCTGACACACCCGGCAGGAACCCCATGCAACCCCACCATGATAACTTCATACCCTCCCCAGAGCCCACCTGCCCAGTGGCACTGGCTCACATATGGGAATGTGACCAGAGTCGTTTCAAAGTGCAAAGGTTGCAGAAAAGACCGAGGTGAGACAGCACCCCGCCAGCTACAGGGCGGGCTTTGCTCTCACTGTCTCAGCAGCGCAGGGATGGCCACACTGAAGTGAGGACTCCAGTCAGGCTTCTGCTGCCCCATAGGAAGAAATCTCATCTAAATTCAGGCCTGGTAGAGGTTCTCTGGGCTACGTAAAGAGAATGTGTTTCATTCCAGCTGTACAGCAATAGAATATATTTAACTTAAAAAAAAAAAAAAAAAGAGAGAGAGAGAAAGAGAGTGAGAGAGAAAAAATCCACAGTATCAAAACACAGCACATCACAACCAGTTGGCAACATCAGTGGGCACACAAGCCCTCCTCCATGACTGCAGGGGTCAGGTCAGGCACCAGCACAGAAACAGAATGCAGGCTGAATGTCAGGGCACCAGCACCAACTCCATATAGGGAGCAGATGATGCACACAGGCATCAGTTCCCTCCTCACTAGGGCAGAAGCATACCAAGGGAGTGCTGCTGCCCTTTGGGTGAGTGCAGGGAGAGGTCACAATTACAGATGATAGGGACGAAGGATTGGTGGTAGGTGGCATGGGCTCCTGCTGGGCTTGTTGCACTGATTCCAGCTCATCTGGTGCCATGGTCACTTGGAATGGTATGCAGGTAGGCTGGAAATGCTGAGTTCCAGATAAGACAATGAATCCCCAAACTGTCTGAAAGTGAACTGTGTGCACAAACACAGAGAAACCTCAGCTGGGAACCGCAGGGGTGCATTGCCACTGAGCACCTGGGAGAAGCCTCCACTTTGGGCTGGAAGGAACATTAGGTCTGTCTGCATTTATGGCTCTTCTTGGGCCATTCTGAATGCCAGCGTTGACATGTAGAAGGTGTCATTCAGAAGGAATAGCTCAAAAAAAGAAGTGTGTTTGTGAGACAAAGCCCTGTGCAGTGCCCCCACGGTACTGTGCAGTGGTATGGCGAGAGGAGACTCTGTTGGCTGAGCATGCGCATGGATCATCCCAAAAAGGAGAGAATGCAACACCAGGATGGAACAAAGCTGCCCCTGAAGAGTATCGGCCCTGTGAGTCTTCACGTGTGGTCTTCCTGGAGGCGGAGCTCTGAGTAAAACATCCCGCAGCACAGAGGCTGTGCCAAGGAGCAGTGTCCAGCAAAAAGTCTGTAGTGAAATGTGTGGCAGCTGATGCACATGGGGAGGAACATGCAGCTTTCTTGGGATTTGGGCAGGACAGCGAGCATTTTCCACAGCCCCTTTTCTGTGATAAGTACAGAACCGACAACACCAACAAATTCATCAACATTTCCATGCTCTCCCCATTGCAGTGCTTCAGCTGTGAAGCTATACGATGACTCACTACAAATCCAGAAAAGTGTTTGGTTTGGTCTCTACCTGACGGTGCTTCCCAACAAGCAGTGAAGCAGCATGTGAGCCTGGCTGAAACTGTTTCATTGCAGCCCTTTCTGAAAAAAAGCCTGGTTTTCACAATGAGGAAAGAGCAGCAGAAAATAGTTTGTTGATGGCTGATGGTGGCGAAGCAGTTGCAGTCTTCGTCAGTTACTATTGCTCTTTAGCTTGCACCTAAAACATTTATTCTCACAAAGCGAAGGATGATATGGAGCCAGCTCAGTGCCACACGCCTAAGTCCAAGTTGGCAGCTGGATTGTGTGCAGGAATCAGCAAGAAGCACGGCCACAGCCTTCTGGTGTTTGCTGCACTATAACTGTGAAGGGAGGCAGAGGGGAATATTCTGGTGGAAGCATCAGCTGATGTGTCCAATGAGCAGGGGGTCAGGGCTTTGCTCCTGCAGGCACGAGTGAGACCTCCAGGATGCTGTGTGCTCCTGCAGCAGGGGGGGAATGAAGGTGCTGGGTGATTCCTCTGGCCCTAAAAAAATGATAATGAAAAGCACTGCTTAGGAGAGAGAGCTTCAGAGTAGCATTTATACCTGTGCTTTTGTTGTATTGCTTTTCTCTCCAGTGTGTGAGCTGTGGTTCTCACCCCTCTGCAGGTGGGGATTTTACAGCTCTATCCCATAAATGCCTTCTCTCCTTTGATAAGACCTGCTCATCTCTGTGCAGAAGGGAACTGCAGTCCAGGGGCCATGCCCCAGGGAGATGTGAACTCAGGCTTCAGCACTGTCTGAGCCCTATTGCTGTTCCAGGTGGGCTGCCGTGAGTGGAGTGAAGGAAGGACAGAAGCCTTGGGACACACAGCATATCAGTGGCAGAGCTCAAGCTATCCTGACTCCAGCCCTTAGCTTGTTCCTCCCATACCACACAACTGCTCCTGGACTCCTGCAGCGGTCCCAAAAAGAGCAGTTTTTACTGCAGCAGAGGAGTGGGCACTGAATATTCATATCCTTCTGCAAATGAATTCATCCTTGCGGGCACTGAAACACATTGTTCCTCGATGATACTTGGCTGCTTTCTTGCTGCCCCTGTCTCAAACCTTGGGAAGGGCTTTTGGACCCTAAGGGTTTATCTGGCTGCTTTATAATACCAGGGTAATCCTGAGGAACTTATCTCTTGGCTGTAGAGGTCTGCTGCTCTCAGGTCGCTTCTTTCCTAGCACAACTCGCAGCTCATTCATTTGGCATGGATTTCCCAAGCACTGCTGCTGTGCGCAGCATCGAGGTGGGACAGCTGTGCTGCCTTTCCTCCCAAGCACACCCAGCCCCAGATTAACGAGCAGCAGCAGTTGACACCTGTCTTCCCAAGAGCCACTTCACTGCTGCCTGCAGGTGGAGAGGCTTACTGTGAATAGCTGAACCTGTGGAATATCAGTTTACATTTCACCTGAGGACTCTTTCATAAATCCATTTTGTCCTTGTTTGTACCTTATCCTCTTGCTAGTCACATGCCTGAAGAGCCACAAGCACCACAGGATGTGTGATCCCCACGCCCCAGGCACTTACCCTGGGTAGCAGAGCAGAGCCGCAGTGTCAGTCGGTACCGTGGGTTACACTGCAGGGATCCATTTTCAAAGCAAAGAGACACTGCCAGCACATCCCTTCCAGGGGCAGGGGAGGAAAAGCCTTTACAGGAAGAGCTTTTGGTAGCTTGGGGTGCCCTGTCTGCTGCTAGCAGGAGCCTCCTGGGGCCGATGGGGGCAGGTGCTTGCATGGTGCCAATGGACTGAAGGAGGGAACAGCCCAATTCAGTTCAGCAGTACAACACAATTTACAGAGTACACATTTCTCAAGACGTTTGCAATGATATAGCTTTGCCAAGCGTCATAAATACACAGCAGAGGAGGCTGGGCTGAGCCATTTGTTGCCACGAAGCAGTCAAGAATGGCTTCTTGGAGGGGAAAGATTGTACAACTTGTTTGCTTTTACAGACTGTACATGTACCTATTAATAGCTCCTTGGCATTTGATGTTCACAGCTGGTTTTCTTTAACAGCAAGCGAAACAGGAGGCAGAATAGCTCTGGCCACTTCCTGCTGGGACAGCAGAGAGTGCAGCATCTCCCACCCCCTTGGTGCCACTGCCTGACTGGGTGCCACCTTGCCCAGGGGCTCCCCTCCTCTTGGCACCCTCCTCTTCCTCCTCCTTGGCCACCCATCGCTGGCTTGCTGGGGCCAGTCCCAAGGTGCGATGCGCTCGCCCCATCTCTGCTGCTCAGTCAGTGCAAGTCTCCCTCGGGTGCTCGGTACCTCCGCTCCGCTGGACAGGCAGGTGGACCGGGGGCAGGCACAAAACAAAAGGAAGAAGAGAGACAAAGGATAATGAGAAGGTCCGTGGCCCACAGCTGCCCAAGGAAATCGCTCGCCGTGTTTCTCTGAACATACTTGTCCCAGCCACTACAGCTGCTGTGGGATTCCCTGCTCCTTGGAGCCTGTGAGGAGGGGGGGAAGGGAACATGGTTAGTGCCAGTCCCTAAGGAGGACCCTCAGTGTGGGCCCGCAGCCAGCTGTACCAGGAGCCTGGGGTACCCCTGTGATGAGACCAGGGGCTGCCACCTCTCTGCTGCCCCTTTCCACCGTGGGCACAGCTGCCTGAGCATACAGCCCTGCAGATGCTGGCAGCAGGCACAGTGCCTGGCTTTGCTTCTGTGAGGGGTTCCAGAGTGCTGTGAGTACCTGTGGCTACAGAGTAAGTAACCTCAGTCCTTCACAGGCTCTTGCTGCCCCATTACCCATTTGCTTTGCTTTGGGCCAGCAGAATGAGGTGCTTTGGTCAGGGCACATCAGCAGCGGGGAAAATTGAGCTTTTCAGTAGCAAATCCAGTGCACGTCAGCACCAAGGCGTGCACAAATCACATCTGTAAGGGCTTGAGTGTCCTGTCCTATTCACCATGGCTCCTTGGGGCCAGGGCCCCACTGCTTGCTGTTTGTGCAGCCTTGCCTTTAATAAGATATGATAGAACTCCCTTCAGGCTTGCTTCTTGGTTTGCAACTGGATGGAAGCCAATTGCAATGGCAGAGCTTTTATCTGTCTTTACATGACCAGAGTAAGCCAAATGAGCTCTTCTATGCTAAATTTAGTTGTTAAAATACTTATCTGTCTTATGAAATAGTTTATATATGGGGAAGCAGCTACCACACTTGTGATGTAACAATTGGTATTTTGTGCAAAGTAGTGATGTGTGAGTGTGCCTGTGCAGCAATACAGTTGAGGCTGAATTTGGTAAAGCAGACAGCTCCAAGATCAGCATCTGGGCCCCAAATCAACAACTTGACCTCATTTACTTGAAATTGCACTTCTGTAAATCATTACCAACTTGTGTTTAGAGGCAAGAGGCAACAAATCCGCATACAGGCTGTCTTAGTCACAGTCCCAGCAACCTCCCTCAGACTGTGTCCCTGCTCAGGGTTCTCTGAAACCAGAGCAGTGTGCTCCAGGGATGTCCTCAGGGCACCAAAAAACATTTTGACCCGGGTTTGTCTTACAGCCGTAGCAATACACTGACACCTTCCATCCAACACCTTGGTTGGCTGGTTCTCCATGAGAGCTCAGGCATCCTCTGCTGTGGGGGCACTGGGATTTGCGAGCACCTGGCTCTCAGGATGGAGCTGCCAGCTGCAAGCCAGAGGCAGTGTCCTTCCTGTGCTCCCACACCCACTGGCACAGCCACAGGACTGACAGAGACAGTCAGACAGGCAGACAGACACACAGACACAGCTGGATGTCAGCTGGGAGTGGGCAGCATCTGCCCCAGCCAGGCCTGAACTCCTTCTCCAAGACAGGCGCCGCTGCTGCCCTGGGGTTCAAGGCTGAAGAGGAGGAACAGAAACAAACTTACCTTGTGAAACTTTGATGGTGAACAAAAGGAGGCAAAGGAACATGGAAGAAAGAGAGAGGGAGAAATGTAACTGTAGACAATATATCCAAAACACATGAAGAACCAGAAAAGAATGGATAAATCAGGGCTGCGGAGTGAACAGAGAATGTCTGCTCTACAACTGAACATTCAGACCAGGGCAAAACCTCTTCAAGGCACTATTTATCGGAGATCTTTGAGTTTGAACTGACTGTTTTTGTTTTGGGTTCTTGTTAGGAGAGCATAGGGGAATCCTCCTCTGTTTTTGAGGTTCCTGTCCCTAAGCTGAACTCCTCCAAGGCCAAGAGGTGACATTGCTTCTCCACAGTGGCACTGCCATTGCATGGGCTGGATAGAAAAGGAACAGTCTAAAAGATGGCATGTGCCATGCACTGTTTATAGTCCTACAGCCAGGAAAACTACACCTGATGGATTATCTCCAGGCTGGCTGCTAAGTTTGCTCATACCCACAGGCAACAAATCTGAGTGCTGTCTATCTTGGCTTGGCTGGGTACTGCTGGGTGCTGCTGGCTAGGGCTGGACCTAGTATTTATTCATCAACTACAGCAAGAATATACCCTACCATTGCAGCATCTGGTAGAAGAGCCCAACAAATATTATTTCACCTACCTACCTTGGGCACAGTCTGAGGTACAGCTCTATTTAGATTAAAAAAAAAAAAAAAATGGATCTAAGTAAGCAATTTGCCCTCAGAATTTGCTCCATTTCATAGGGGGCCACCAATCATCTGAGGATGCTCTGCTCTTCTGAGTCTCTCAAACACTTTCCATTCTTTCTTTACTGGAGCAACTGCAGAACCCACCCTGCCCACCTGGGATGGTCCCTGTATGGAGAAGATGAGCCTTGGTGACAGCCAAAGTCACTGGATGCCAAACGTACAGTGCAGTGACCAAGCAATCATCTGGTCCTTATGGCAAGATCTAAACAACACAATTAGCAAAGGAATGATGAGTGGGCAGTATGAGCACAGGTAATTTCTTGCTACTGGATATCAGTGAGTCTTTGAGAGGCCAAGGGTTGCTGCAGCAGGAGTCTCCATCACCTGAGTCCGCAGGTGCTAGTGCCTTCACTCAGCCATGGGCACAGCCACACACACCTAACTGAGAGGGCAGAAGTGGAGTGAGGTCTTCCTTCAAAGGCTGTGCCTTCCTTCTGGGCTGTGTTCATCAGAGGTGCAAAAATGCCTGGACAAATACTCCCTGACCTCTGTCTCCTGAGCCAGAAAGGACTCTGGGAGAGCACAGTGCTGCAGTTGCCCATGAGATATCTGTGAGTTACTGCAGGGAGGTGAATCCACCTTTTTATTTTTTTGCAAAAGAATTAGGGGCTTCTTTTCCATCTCCCTTTACTTTCAGATAGCAGGTAAAACAAAGAGCTCTCCCCAAAGCCATGTGTCTGGTAATGTTTTTCACACCATTTCTTCAGTTTGTCAGGGTCCCACCTGAATCCTGACCCTGCTGCTTGCCCACACCATCATCCAGTCCTGAATGAAAATACTGAGCAGAACCAGTTTCAGGAGGGGCCTTACAAAACATCTCTCATTGTAGCTTCAATTTCAGAATGAATTAAAGAAAAACGTATTCAGAGAACTGCTGTCAAATCTTTCTCACAGACCACGTCTCTTGGCCTGCTTGGAAAAGTGCTGTGTGGCACAACGTCCATGCCTGAAAGTCAAGATGTATCTCTGATCTCAATTCACAAAATGAATTCCTCTGCCACAGAAGGGAATGAGGCCAGTTTGACACAGCTTGTTCTTGACAAAACCAAGCTGACTCTCACTTTATTTCTTTTTATTTCCTAAATGCATGCAAGTCATCCATTTGATTACTTGTTCCAGGAACTGAAGTGCACCTGACTGACTTATAATTCCTCTCATTTTCCCCCTCATTAAAGACAGACAGCATGACATTATCCTCAAGGCTTTCCTCTTGGACAAGGCTCCAGCAGGACTCTTCTCTCAGTGGCTGAGAATGAGGGAGCCTTAGGAGGGGGAGAACTGCAACCAGCCTCCTTGGCTGCTGCCCAGCACTCTGCCAACCAACAACACAAGCATGCTTTGCAGCACAGGCTCTGCCTGGAGCCTGTCAAAAAGGAACTGATCCCCCACTGCATGGAAATCCGGAGCAAAAGCCCTCCAGCACATTTGTCTGGGATATCACATGCTTAGATTGTCCTTTAGCCCACCAAAAATCCCATCATGGGGATGCACAGACTCAGCCACTTAATGGTGAGGAAAAGAAGAGGTGGGCATTGCTTCAGTATCTTTTAACTCCTCCCCAGCCAAATGCAGACTCAAGTTTCAACAGCTTCCACTTTATCCCAGCGCAGAACAAATCACAAACAACTTTTTCTCCTTTTAAGCAAACCAAACCCAACCAAAGCAAACTATTTAGCATAGCAGTATTTTTAGATGAAATGTCTTATTTCTTGCACTTGAAATCTTATTTCATTTTTTAATGACTCTGTTTTGGTGGGGTTTGGTTTTGCTTTGTTTTGTTTCAACATGAAAACAATGACAAAAAACAAACAAAAACCAAACCCAAAGCATTTTACTTCACTTCACTATGCTGTTTGATACAAGTGAGCACAACTGATCACTTCCGTTTTCTGCTTTGACTGAAAAAACTACATTTTCCTTTATCCTCCATTAATCAAGTATCCTTTACTTATCCATGATTTCCTCTGTGTTGTAAAGAACTTAAAACCTAACTGAGGCAGCGAGAAACTGCTGAGGGCTGCAACTTGTTGGGTTATATAGAGCTGGTTGTCATAAAGCACGTAGGTTCCACTTGCTCTTCTCTTCTAGCAGAGGGAACCAGATAAAGCTGTAATCCCTGGCAATCAACCTGGAAAATCAGGTGGAGCCTCCTCACAGTCAGCTCTCTGCTCACCTTACCTGTGTCTGTGCCATACACAAGCAGGACTGTGGAGAAAGGTAAGCCACAGTTTTAGCTGCAGCTCTTTGAACAGGTGCTTGCCACTGCAAAACTGGTTCTGCCGGCAGTGCCTGACATGCTGAAGATGTGCAGCAGAGCAGTAGCACTGGTATGGTGTGTGTAGGTACAAACACTTAATGACCTGATTACAAACAAATTGGGCGGGTTCCTAGAGCCATTCCACTGAGAAGGACTCGTTCATATTTTATCCTCAGCAGTATCTCAGGCTACCCCTGACACACGGGTGCGTCTGAGATGAAACCTGGCAGCAGGTTTGCTTGGGAAAGTAAAGTGTAGTGCTGCCTGTGCCCTGAGGAAAGCCTTTTGTTTCACTGGCATTCAAGTTTTTAACAACCAACTTTTGCTCTGTGTGAGGATCACTCTGAACTCAGCCTGCAAACTGAGGCTGGCTCAGAAATCACCAGATGGTTTGGTAAGTGGCTTTAAGCCATGGGTTTGGTAGCTGAAGATGTGCCTGGTCTCCTGTCGTCCTTTCAGTTTCACTCATTTCATTGTTCTGCAGATCCTGGAAGTTTCCTGAGATCCCCCTTCCTGCTCCAGCAGAGGTCAGCAGAGATGACCACGTGAAGCCCTTTCAAACAAAACGACAAAAGCTGATGCTAAGATATTCTCCTTCAGAAGCAGCTACTTTTATTCGCCGCTGTGTGATTGGAAATGATGCTCCATTTCACACCAGTCAAAGTCTTTAGCAGGTAAAGTGACAGAGTTTGGGTTCTAGAATGGTAATATGTGGTTAATCAGCTGCATGACCTAACTTCAATGAAAGACTCTTCTCCCCCCAGAATAATTTGTCATATCATCAAAGGGAGAAGGAGAGTTCCTTCCAGGAATAGCTCAGCAGTCCAGTTCAGCCTGAGAACTTAATGAAACATTAAAAAAAAATTATCACTGGATAAATGAATCTAGGGGAGATGGAATGTCCTAGAGCATCTCCAGGGCTTTTCTGACAGACTGACACTGTGGGAGAGGTGCAGCTGCGGCCATGAAGGAAAAAGGTCTTTCCTGTTCAAAACCATACACCAATGCAACCAGGGAGGAAGGGCTCCAGTCAACAGAGCTTGCTGTGCTGAGGTCCTCACCCCTTCTTGTACTTTTAATGTTTTAGACAAGAACAGAAGGTTCTAAACTTCATGGTGAGATGCAAGCATCTCATCCGGACAAGAAACAGGGCAGCCTGGGTATGAATGTCCCTAACAACTCCCACAAGTTTCTCACCAGCTTGCAGAGCCCTTTCTGTGGCTCCTGCACCCTACAGAGCTGTGTGGAGACTGCAGGGGCATTAGTTGTGTCCTAGCAACATAAGGAAGATGGAATGGATATTGCACTGTACTTACTTGCAAGAATGACCATGTCCATTCCCCAGAATATACTCATAATCCATCCGACCATCACAATTGCTGTCAGGATCTGGATCAATGCAGCAGCAATGTTCAGCCAGAAAACACAGCATATGTGCCTGTCAGGGAGGTCAGTCCGGGCTCCACACAGCACAGTGAAAGCTGATACAAATGTTCCTATGGAGAAAGTAGAAAAAAAACATAGTGAAGCCACAGATTCATGCCAGATTTCTTCCTCTAAACCTCACTTTTCAGAGTGTCTTGCTCCTATTGCTGTAGTGGATCTGCAAACACTGTACAAGAGGACAAACGGAGGCACATATTTTCTCTACAGAAGCTTTAAAAGGGAAATTTCTACCCAGACTTACAGCACTACTGGCTGTACAAAGCAGTACATCTCTGACATGTCCATGAAAATTCAGTCTGAGGTATTCTCCTGAATACTTCTCCAGAAGGAGCATATCCAAAGAATGGTGCTGCTGAGGCACTGCAGCTCAGCATAACGCTCCCCTGGGTCACAAACTGATACCTGGAAGTCTTTTAACAGAGTAGAAAAAGCTAAACTGATGTTCAGCACTGAGTGCTGCAGACCCACCAGAGCCAAACTTCCAAAACTTCCACACACCCTCAAGGTTTCCTAAAACAATTCAAATGAATAATAATGCATGTATGAAAGTAAAAGCTGGGTGGGAGGAGAACACATCAGAAATTACAAAGATTTTCCCTGCATTTAGCCCATTGGATGAGCCTGAACATTTATTTGCAGCTGATGTTCTGTTTCCATGGATAGCTAAGAGTACAGTTTGGGGGAGGACTCATAGTACCCACAGCCAACCTGCAGCAATGCACAGCATCTGCAAAGAACAGAAGAAACTGCTACTGACACCTGTTGTGTATGAGCTGCTAGTCAGGAGATTGCATTATCTGATCTAAGTATGCACTTCAACACTTCTTATCATTATACATTGTCTTTCTATTTTTTTACGTCTAAATACATCATTGCCAAGGTAGGTACAAAGGTGTGTGGTTTGTGCTGGATCACCCAGATCTCTGAACGTTTCCTTGGTGAATATTTGGAATTACATACCTTGCAGAACAACGTCCAGTGGTTTTTAAGAACTTGCCCTTTTCTGTTTGCGAGAGCAGGAGCATGTGAATGATCTTTGAGATGCAAATGAGTAAGCTCATCTTTGATGTACACCGATGCCTTACTGAACTTTTTGAAGGATGGGATCACTTGGCTTGGATGCAGATGGGAGGAAACGCTCAGCTGCATCACTCCTGCAGACTGCAGCAGCCAGACAGAGCAGGAGGTTCTGCTTAGGAGCAAAACAATGCTGTCCTGCCCTGCCAGGATGGTAGGACAGATGCTCTCTGCTGCTGCTGTCATCTCAGCGGGTCACAAGGAGAACAGGCAGTTAGCGTGGTAGGAAGGCTGCCCACAGCCTATTTTTAATCTCACCATCTTCTGCAGCCTTCAGCTCCAGCATACTCCTAACACCCCACCAGCTCCCCAAACCCACGTGCCTTCTTGCCACTGGTCTCATCCTCCCAGCCGCTCAGTGCTGCAGCCGGCAGCAGTAGGAGGTGCAGTAGGAGGCAGCCCTGCAACCCAGCACTGCTGAGCTGGGAAGAAGAAAAGGGGGAATGGCTTTAATCCCAAAGGATGTTACATCAGCCTCCCTGCTACCTGCTGACAGAGAGGTCTGTTGTTTGCTCGCTGGCTTTGGCAACTTCCATGTGGGATCTGAGTGACGTGGCTTAGTGGACATGGTGGACTAAGTTAATTTAGTGCTCTTTCCAACCTTAATGATTCTATGATCGTGATTATCCCAGATCTCTGTCCTGCTTTAGCCACCGTATTTTCTCTGATAGCTTCTTTAAACTAGGAGGACAGGAATATTCCCCAGCGCATCCGAAACAGTTCTCTGCAGAGCTACAATGTAGCACAATCTGGGATTAAATAGGGCAGGATTGAGGCAGAGTCAGGAACTGGACGTTCGTGTTTTCCCATCAGGATGCTAAATCTTGCCAAATGGCAATGCATTTCTGTTCTTAAAATGAAAATGAAAATCCCTCTCACCTTAACTTTGCTCTTCTAAGATGTGTTACAAAAAAAGGTTGTAAATGAGCAATAACTCTTAAGAAACAGCTTCAATTCCTTCCAGTGAAGCTTTTAATATTTTTACATCATTAGAGTGAGATGCTGAATTAGCTGATGAGTCCCTTACATACAGCAGTGACTAAGCTAATAATATCCAATCCCATTCCAAAGGGAAGAAAGCAAAAAAGGCAGATAGATGTCCATGTCTGGAGGGAGAACTGATACAGAAACTGGGATTTTCTCAGGAACCTTGCCCTCCGGGTTCCCATTCAGACCACCTTCCTGCTCATGGGAGCCAATGCATTTTCTTTACTAGTTATGATTAACTAACATTTGGGAGGTGGTTGGCATTTTTAAATCAAGAATTGAAACTAGCCAGCAGATATAAAAAGGAAGCAGCCTTCTTCTAATCAACATAGTTTCATTCTGAGGAAAAGCATTTTATCTATGTTGCACCAAAGCTGGAGAAAATGCACCTTCCCTAGCCTCAGCTTCACTTCAAAACATGAGGCAGAAGAAAGTCTTAAACATATTTCCCTTCCAGAAACTCTCTTGGCTCCACACTTCCAAATATGGTAGAGTTTCCAACTGGAAGCACATTCTTGAAGAGGAGGAAGAGAAGCTGCATCTGCTGATGCTGTGTAACCACACTAGTTAGGGCACCCTGCCTTCACCTCCCTATCCCAGCTGAGGGATACCCACAGCCAGTAACCTAAAAACTTAGTAAGAAATCTGTAACTGGGATTATGTTGGCCAGTTAAGCAAGTTATCCAAAAAGATCTCAGGCTGTGAATGTAACAAGTGAACACAAACTGCTAAGGCTGCAAGTAAATGAAAACTGAAAGTCTCTACATGAGATAAGTAAGTGATATGAAGCACTTCTCATATCTACCAAACAGAAAATAGCCCAAACCCAGTGCAATCTGGCATTACTCTAAACCATGTGCTTTCTCTATTTAGCTCTGAGTAGGAGCTGACTGCACTAGCAGACGTGGTTTGCTTAGTTCCATGGGTGGGAAACAACAGGATAACTCAGAAACTGGGGTTGTGGGTAGGCTGGAGTTAGGGCCAGGGCTGAACAGAGACACCTAGCACATTTAGAGATTTTTGTTTATTTATTTATTTATTTTTCTGTATCAGGAGAAAATTCACAATGAGGACAGCACACCCTGTGAATATCTGCACCAGCAGGGGAAGACGGAAGACCCATGAATTGCTGGTTTACTGGGTCTTATGCTGAGTAGTAAGTGAATCATGCATTAATACAACCCCTGTGGGGACAGAGGGGGAGGTCATGGAGAAAGGACATCACGTGCCACATAGCAAGTCTGTAAACTTAGCTAAAGGGCATCAAAGCTCATTGCAAGCACTTGGACGAGCCAAACAGCTTGCCTGGAACTAGCAGTCTGTAAGTGCACACAGCTGGGCTGCTGCAGAGATATCAGAGGGAAGTGGGCTTCCATTCTGAAGCAGCTATAGATACCACCAAGAAGAGAAAGATAAATGAGAGTAGCACACACAGCTGCTGCTAGTCAAGCTCCCTACCCCACAGAAGTATGAAGGTTGGAGCTAGGGAGGGGTTGAAGAAATACATTTTCCCTTTCCCTTAAGTTTGGGAGCTATATAAGATCGTCTCTTGTATTACTGTGAGGAAACAGGGTGGTAAGTAGCTCTTTTTCTGGCTTCCCAAAGGGAACAAACAACTCATGTTTTGACTGAGGATCTGGAGCAAGGCTTCAGGATGCGTGCAGCTGCTAGTAAGCACAAGTACAGGGAGGGAGAATAGGGAGAGGAATGGCATCTGAGGTATCTGTGGGAACAATGAAGGCTGCAGGATTGATGGTGGGAGATGTAATTAATGAGTGTGTCTTTTGTGGGGGAGGAGAGATATCTGTATTGTGCCAGGGGAGTGCTCTGTGTGGGGACATGTCTAATGTGCCTTTGAATTTTTTAAGTAAAATGATTATTAGCTGTCATTAAACAATATTGGCAGGCATATGAGGCAGATGTTGGGGATTTGCTGAAAGAGATATGCTGCTTTTTTCTTGGATATGCTAGAAAAATAGCATAAAATGAATAATAAGTTTTGCAGTTTGCTTGGTGTTACAGTGACTGTATTATCTACTGTTTGAGATATCTAGGGGTACTGAGTGGTCTGAACTCATTTTAAACTCCAGTTTGTAAGGAATCGTTTCCGTTGGGGAGGCCTCTCATTGGTGGCACCAATTAAAATCCTCATCTGTAACCCTCTGGATCATGATGAGGGAAAGGAAGCTATTAAAACCTGCAGCTGTCTGTATAGAAAAGGCTGCTCAAACTAATGTACCCGTGGCCTTCTCAGCACTAAGTGACCTGGGAGCACTGAAGCATTCTTGTAGACACTATGGTCTGTGGTTAATGCTCAGCCCAGGGCACAGAGATCACCACATATGCAGCAATTCTTCCCCCATTAGTGGGTGTGGATGGGCTTCTTTTGCTGTCTAAAGAAAGTAGAGGTGGGAAACCTAGAAGTGAGGCTGCAGCGTGAATGAAATGTGGGGGTTGCCTGCAATATGACATGTAAACTGAGTGTTTGTCTGTGGGATTGAGTAAGTTCTTCCCCTTGCAATTCATTTCAGCCTTGGAATTAATGCAGTGCTCAATGCAATTATCCCCTTTTCTTCTATAAGTAAAGGTATTTTAGCCAGTACTTTGAAAGCAAGCCTACATGCAGTGAAAAGGGGCTAGAACAGATGGGTGGCTTTCCCAGTTCGAGAGGGGAGAAGAGTGGAACCCATGGACTGCTTAAAATAGTAACAGGTTTGGTCCTAGTCATCAGCTTTTAGAACTGAAAATCCCAATCCAAAATTCACAGGCCAAGTATAATGAACTATGAATAAGTAATGCTGTGGCCATGAGCTGTCACGGGGGAAATGAATGGCCTGAAGACACCTGGTGGCTAAGTGGCTCATTGCAAATACCAGCCTACATGGGCAGCACTGCATGCAGAGCCCAGGCAAGGAAACCAGGAGTGGTGGAGTAGGAGAGGGAGAAGAGGAAAGAGTGGAGGCAGGCAAATGTGACAGAGCCTAGA